GGTATGTCCTGAAACAATTGGCAGATCTTACTTACTAACTTACTAGCTTACTAACTCACTAACTCACTAAATTACTAACTCACTAACTTACTAACTTACTAACCTACTGTCTATAAAAACACAAAAATACATAACAAAAACACACATACACACATACACCCCACATACACAGTTTAAATGACCATAGATTGTTTGATTAGCCAGAAGCATGGGGAAAGAGGAAAGTTTTTGCCTGGCACAAAAAAAATAGTGTTTTAAGTTTGTGGGTGCCAGACCAGTTTAAAGGGGAGGGGAGAGCAATGAGAAAGTAGGTTGTATGCGAGACCTTTCTAATTCCTGGATTCAGTACAGATTCAATTGCTGGAATAACCAGACCAGCCTGGGTGAAGGGACATTAAGGGCAATACAGACAACCAGAGTGGTTCCATAACCATTTGCAAAGTGGTAACTTGACATATTGTGCATCTGTATCCATTTATGCTTCTTTTTCAACAGAGAGAGAGAGAGAGAGAGAGAGAGAGAGAGAGAGAGAGAGAACTTATTTTTCCATTTCAAACTCCCTGAATCAGTTCAATATACCATTTCAACTGGGGATTGTATTCTTCGTCTGCTAAAACCAATTATATTTTTTCTTCTTTCAGGAGTACTTCTGAATAGAGTGTGTGTGTGTGTGTGTGTGTGTGTGTGTGTGTGTGTTAATAAACATCCTAACATCTGTAACTCAGTATAAGGTAGGTTATTATTTCAACCACCTTTCTCCTCTGATAAGAAGGTAAGAAAAACTCTGCTGGATCATAACAAAGGGAGAACTAGCCCATCATTCTGTTCTCACAGTGGCTCAGCCATAAGCAGAATGTGAGTACAGTCATCTTTCAGCAAATTAGCTTACCAGTTGCTACTGTGATGTGTGATGTACAGGTAATGGTTTAGGAGAACAGAGGTGGGCAACCTGTGGCTGTCATGGTGTTGTTGGACATCAGCTCCACAAATCCTTAGCAAGCATGGTCAACAGGAGGGGGTGATGAGAATTATAGTCTATCAACACCAGAAGGGTCACAGGTTCCCCACCTTTAGCCTGCAAAAAGATTATGAAGGGGGGAAATGGCAGTGAGAAGCTTTTAAAAGACCAGCAGGTCATATAGTCTATTTTCTGGAGAACCTGAGTAGAAACAACACTTTTTATTCCATTGAAAATGATTATATACCTCACCTCTAAAGATACATCAATACGTTTGTGTTTTGTCATCTGCCAGATCTTCCAACCACAGTTCAGGTGCCTTTATTCTCTATTTTCCAATAATATATCATTAAAAGATATACCTTAAAAAAGATAGAAGGGTGCTTATTTGATAGTATTATAGCCATAGATATTTTCCTGGAGATGAGAGAAATCATCCCTTTCACACATGCAATTATTCATGTGGTTAGGTGCATAGTGCATGCACAAAACTGCATACTTTGGTGCACAAAATAAATGCACAAATTTGCCTTAAGCGGTGGGCTGTGAAAATGGATGTTTGTGAAATCCTAGGAATCCATGATGCCATTTTGAATCTTATTGTCCATCTCCAAGTGCTCTGTGGTTGAATGCATGTTTGTTTTATTAAATGTATCGTGAGAGACTGGAAAGAGGGGGTGAGGGGGAAATACTTGGCAAAATGCTATCAGAAAGGAATGGTTCTCAACCCTTGTAGGATGGTGATGTTTTAAGAACTCAAGTAATGAGCCAGGCTCTTGGGTGCAATGACAACACAGTGACTGAAGTAATTAACTCAATGCCCTGCTGATTGGCACCATAATCCATAAATCACTTACAGCAAGAATACATGTACATAAGCCACCTTCATCCCATAGACTGCAAAGGAAAGTCAATGGGGCTAAAATAGCTTAGGCATAAGCACTATGTTTAGAGATGCTGCTGAGAATCATAATTGGCTCGAAGAAGAAGAAGAAGAAGAAGAAGAAGAAGAAGAAGAAGAAGAGGAGGAGGAGGAGGAGTTTGGATTTGATATCCCGCCTTTCACTCCCTTTAAGGAGTCTCAAAGCGGCTAACATTCTCCTTTCCCTTCCTCCCCCACAACAAACACTCTGTGAAGTGAGTGGGGCTGAGAGACTTCAAAGAAGTGTGACTGGCCCAAGGTCACCCAGCAGCTGCATGTGGAGCAGCGGAGACATGAACCCGGTTCCCCAGATTACGAGACTACCGCTCTTAACCACTACACCACACTGGCTTCAGTTGCTCGCAGTGTGCTCACATCATCAATGAAGTAAGCAGTGGAACCAGTGAGTTCTCCTCCATCCTGTCAGTGTTTGTAAAAAAACAACAACAAAGGTTCTGACCTCCCTTTATCGCCTCAGCCCGGTCCTCAGATCCTTGTCGGCATAAAAGAGTCCACGAGAAGAGTATCCTTGCAGAGTACTTTCTGCTTTTATTCTTAAAAAGTCTTCGTGCAAAAGTGACCGACCAACTGTACACACGTCAACACTACCAGCTTTCACTAACCAATCAACCCAACAGCAAACTAACATTTCTCATTCTATATATACGGTGCAGGCTGCTGACTCATGCTGACCCAGCTTTTTAGGCATTAAAGAAACAGCGGCCAATTTTCAGCCGTGACACATCCCATATTTTCATTTCCTTGAGATGCCAACACCATGTTTCCCATGTCTGAGGAAGACTGGACAGAGCCGTTGGTAGCCTGCTGTAACTTGGTTTGTGCAGTGCAATTCCATACATGGCTACTCCGAAGCCCGACTGAGTTCAGTGGAACATACGCCCTGGAAATTGTGTGTACAATTGCAGACAAGCATCGTCTTCATCTTGATCTCCAAGTTAAATACAGTCCAGGAGCAGGACACACCCAATGCATCTTACTTCCGTCATTTGGATCCGTGGTTACAGCAGTCTGAGGGTGCTGGCATGATGCTTGAACAGTTCAGCACTAAACCCTTCCCTTTGTGGCTTTTATAAAAATGTCTAGCCAATATGGAGTAGCCTATTGGGTGTAAAAAGAACCTACCCAGCAGCTTAGGCTATTGCCAGAGGTCCAACTCCAAGTGCCTCTGACTTTGTAGATTAGGTGATTAGTTACTAGGGAAAGGGTCTTCTTAGTAGGGTGACCAGCACCTTTAATACTTGCATAGATGGTTAATCCCTGTATGGGAAACATATTTTCAGATGTTGTAGTTTGTCATGCAAATTCTCTCTCCTCCACAACTATTAAATGTGTAAGAGCCTTGTTCTCTTCTGCGTCTGCCCCCTACATCTCAGTGGCTGTCCCCAAACATGGAATTGACCTGGCACTGGTTGCCATTTTTCAAAAAGTGAAAATCCATACACAATACAGTGGTACCTCGGGTTACATAGGCTTCAGGTTACAGACTCTGCTAACCCAGAAATAGTACCTCGGGTTCAGAACTTTGCTTCAGGATGAGAACAGAAATCGTGCTCCAGTGGCGCGGCGGCAACAGGAGGCCCCATTAGCTAAAGTGGTGCTTCAGGTTAAGAACAGTTTCAGGTTAAGAACGGACCTCCGGAACAAATTAAGTACTTAACGCGAGGTACCACTGTAGTTGTTTTTTGGCAAAGTTGTTGTTTGCCAGGCAAAGGATGTCTTGCTTACCTGAGCTTTTTTGTTAGGGATTATACTGTGTCTGGATGCTTCCAGATGGGAGTTTCATGTCACAAATTGATGGTTCAGATCAATTTTTCTCTGTGCATGATCAGCATGTGAGCATCCATGCACACAATTTTTAAGCCTTAGTTTTTCATAGGTATTCTGCTGTTTCCTATCTAGACTAGCAGGCAGCCCTTGTTGGAAAGGGTCTCTGCTATGTTCTCTTGTCCCTCGCCTCAACTCAAAGTTGCTTAGAGTTGCTTTTTGTTAAAAAGTGGGGAGGGAAAGCAACTAATAAGTTCAATGATATATATATATATAAAATCTCCCAAAATAATCCCTGACATGTGCTGAGAATATGAGAGACGAGGTCTTCTGAACTGGGTTTTTGAAATTTTAACATGCCTCCATCATGTGGCAGTCAATGGAAATAGGCACATGCAATAATAATAATAATAATAATAATAATAATAATAATAATAATAATAAAATAATTATTTATACCCCGCCCTCCCCGGCCAGAGCCAGGCTCAGGGTGGCTATATATATATAAGACCACTGGAAATAAAATAGTGAGGTTGTGCTCAGGTGAGAAGCAAACAGGTTTAGAGGTGTGGCAAAGGAAACCACTCACTGAAGCATCACCACACAGACAACAATCTGCCCATCAATAACCATCAAACAGTCTAACGAACTTCCACACCAGTGGTGACTGCAGTTGTATAATGGATTATTTAACAAATTTCCCATGGTAAAGGGTAGTCTTGATTACAAGGAAAAAGGGGAAAAAAGAGTACAAGCTGGTGTTTTGTTGACATTGTCATCATGTAGGCGGTGTGAAACATGTCTGCATGAGCAGGCCGATTCTGCTACAAACCTCCATTAAGACGCAACCTTCAAAAGTAGTCCTAGCTATTAGTGGAGTCTGTTCATTTGTCTGTGGCTATAGTCTGTTATGGTCTGTGGAAGCTGAATCTGCTTTGATTTGTTTTATATTGATTTATTTTATCTGCGGCTGTTTGGTTTTTATTGTTATTATATTTTTGTTTTAATGCTTTTGGGGTTTTTTGCAAGCTGCTTTGAATGCCACTGAGTGGTGGAAGGATGGCATAAAAATATTTCGAATAAATAAAGCAAAGCAATGGGATAAGCTGTCTCCTAAATCCTTTGGTTGTTGCCATAGCTCTTTTTGTCTGACTTCTATACACACACACACACACACACAGCCAATAGGGAGAAACCATGAAAATTCACATGCAAGAAATATGATTTAAATATTAATGCTGAAGTCTTATTCACTAGTCATAGGATCATAGAACTGTAGAGTTAGAAGGGACCAAGAGGATCATCTAGTCCAACCCCCCCTGCAATGCAAGGATCTTTTCCCAACATGGGGCTCAAACCCATGACCCAGAGACTAGGAGTCTCATGCTCTACTGACTGAACTATCATTTATCTGGTGATGATAGGCTTTATAGCAGAGATGGGCCACCAGCATGGACAGTGATCAGATATGATGGGAGTTGCAGTCCAGTAACATCTGGAGGTCTAAAGACTCCCCATCCCTGCCTAATAATAATAATAATAATTTATTATTTATACCCCACCCATCTGGCTGGGCTTCCCCAGCCACTCTGGGCGGCTTCCAACAAAATATTAAAATACAGTAATGCATCAAACATTAAAAGCTTCCCTAAACAGGGCTGCCTTCAGATGTCTTCTAAAAGGCTGGTAGTTGTTTTTCTCTTTGACATCTGGTGGGAGGGCGTTCCACAGGGCGGGCGCCACTACCAATAAGGCCCTCTGCCTGGTTCCCTGTAACTTGGCTTCTCACAGTGAGGGAACCACCAGAAGGCCCTCGGCGCTGGACCTCAGTGTCCGGGCACAACGATGGGGGAGGAGAAGCTCCTTCAGGTATACTGGACCGAGGCCGTTTAGGGCTTTAAAGGTCAGCACCAACACTTTGAATTGTGCCTCAATTATATATAGTACCCCAGTAGTAGCCTCTATTATTTACCCTTTATGCTGCAAGGCCCATGACAAGAAGTACAATGGTTGTGTGTATCTGTCATCAAGAGATTCACACATTCTCATTTGATGGGACCTGTCATATCGGTAGACAAATTACTGAAACACATGCTCAGCATGCCCATAATTTTCCGAGACTATTGGAAGCTTGCTTTTTACAGCAGGCAATGAATTATCCCATAATTAACAGACACATCACTTTAGAACCATCCACTGCAGTTCACATTTTGGGACAGAATGCTGGATTGCAGTTGGACCATTTGTGTGATCCAACACAGTAGCTCTCTTCCAGTTCTGCTCTAATTATATATGGGTGTTCATATATGTATGTCTATATAGCCAATAATTGTAGAGCATATTTCAGTCAGCCCATCTAGCACACTGGAAGAAAGGAATTGATCCCTGCTGTTTCATTTATTAGATGGTGTAATACCACAGAAATCGTTTCCACAATATCCCAAACTAAATCATTTATTCTTGACAAAAATCCAATAAAGAACTCAATCCTTCTCCATAGGCAGATAAAGCCCAGATTAATGGCACTGCCTAGATCGGGGGGCGGGGGGGAGAGAAATTGCTGGGAAAATGAAAGTGAGATAGAGAGTCTGCTCCTTTCGTTTCTCTTCGCTTTCCCAAGGCTGCCACAGCTTCAGTTTTTATTACAAAAAGCCGCCTAAGTATTACAGGCTAATCCGTAAATCCCAGCCTAGTAAAATATGTGACGGATTTTGTAAATTATGCCCTTTACAAATCTGATTGAACTCTTCCTCCCCCCGCCCCCAGTTAGCTTTCCATTCTTCTTTGGCATCTCTCCCCACAACCTCCTCCTCCTCCTCTCACAACTGGAGTTCACATTCTTTTCCTGCACCAGATCACAAGTGCTAATATCTGGTTCTGTTATAACCTGGCTGACTTTATCTGTGGCCCTTTCATGAACCTTGCAATGGACAGCCAAAATCCGTCAGTTGCCAACTGCTTCCTAGGACGAGCCTTTTCTTCCAAAGCATGCAAGCCAAGGTATTCTCTTGACCGATGGGGTCTCCAGCCCTCGCTCGGCAACAGTGATGCTCCTTCTACGGGCTTGTCACTGCAAAAGAAATATTGTTGCTGCCAGTGCCCCACAAATTATATGGGGTGGGTGGCTATTAAAGCATAAGAAGTGTCACATTTGGTAGGACAAATGGTCCATCTAGATAACAAAGTGAACACAAATAGACGGTGACATGGAAGGCCAGTGCCGTTTTAGGAATCATTAACAGAAACACGTGCCTTGATGCAGCGAGGAAGATTCATGCACAGAAGAGAAGCTGTCTGCTACACTTACAGCTGATGCAGGCACACACCTGCATATACATCTCTCAGCTGCACTGCCATACTTATCCAGAGCCCACTGAGCTAGCTGGATGCTGCTTTTGATATATACATGAGGGTGAGCAACTCAATCTAGCGCTATAGTTGTTATGCATTTCTAGTTGCTCACAACTGGGTCCAGATTGATCTAGTGTGCTGCTGCATGCGGCACAGGGAAGAACTCAGTTGGAACACTGATGAGTGGGTTTAGTAGGAACAAAGGGCTTTGTGAAGCATGCTGTCAAACAGCAAAGGGTTCAGAGGGGAGTCATGGGAACAGCAAAAAGTCAAGGACAAAGGTTTTCAAATTATATTCCTATGAACCCTGGGATTCCGCAGAAGCTTGTTAGACATTCTTTAATGAGCAAATCAGTAGTGGGGATAAGCATCCTTAAAACACAGGTTTTTCACAGTGCCAATCTTCCCCTGTAAGAAAGTGTTATTAGCATTTTAAAGAATGCTCTCCGATTGCGAAAGGTAATGTTAAGTCCTAAGAAGCCTGGGCAGTGCCCCGTATGAGTGTAGGAGAGCCTTTCTAAGTCCATACCCTCTAATGAAAATAGGGACATCCTATTCTATTATTATTATTATTATTATTATTATTATTATTTATTATTCCCTGCCACTGGTTGCCTCAGTCACTCTGGACGGCTTCCAAGATATATAAAAACATAATAAAACACTGAACATAAAAACATTCCCTATATAGGGCTGCCTCTCAAGGTTGTATAGTTACTTATCTCCTTGGCTCGGGGGTTGCATAACTCCATACCCTCCAATATTCCTCAGATGAACATAGGGACACCCTAAGGAAAGGCCAGACATTCAAATCAAATCAGAAACTGCGACAGCTTCTGTAAATCAGGGACTGTCCTTGTAAAATAGGGACACTTGGAGGGTCTGCCCATGCTGTTTATGTGGCATGAAATTTTATTTATTCACTCACATATACCCCGGATGAACATAAAATGGTGGTTCAGAGCATGAACTCCAAAAGATATTACAGTGGTACCTCGGGTTAAGTACTTAATTTGTTCTGGAGGTCCGTTCTTAACCTGAAACTGTTCTTAACCTGAAGCTCCATTTTAGCTAATGGGGCCTCCCGCTGCCACCGCACCGCTGGAGCACGATTTCTGTTCTCATCCTGAAGCAAAGTTCTTAACCCGAGGTACTATTTCTGGGTTAGCGGAGTCTGTAACCTGAAGTGTATGTAACCCGAGGTCCCACTGTACACCTCTTTTAAGGGAACTGCTTTGGATTCTCATAGACAGCAAGGCAGGCTTCTGTTTCCCTTTTAAGACACAATTCCAGAGCTGCCAGTTTGATGTCCTCTTACACCAGGGGTGAGGAACTTCCAGCCCATGGGCCTAATGAGCCTGTGTGGCCATTTCCCCAAAAGCACACTCACCTGCCACCACACCTGACATCATATGTGACCTCAGGTGTTGGACAGGTAGAGCCACAGCTGCCAAATGAGCCATCAAGTATTGCAGCCTCTTCTCTTTTTTTTTTTTAATGATATTTATTAAAGTTTCACAAAAATACAGAAAACAAAGAAAAAAGTATAAATTACAACAAAAAAGTAAAAAGTAAGAAAAAACATACAAAATAAAACAATTAAAAACACAATGATGTTCCATAACCTATCTTCCTTACTCTTATTTCCCCAGACCTCCTCATACCTCCCTTCTTTGTATTCCAATTCAGTTTGTTGGTTCAGCAAATCCTTACCATTAATCTTTTACCCAATTGTTAACCTTTTTTTTTCATGTCTCTTAAAGCATTACAGCTAAAAACCTCTTAATTTCTATCCAACATCCTTCTAAAGTTCCTTAATTTTACAATATTTCTGTAAATAGTCCTTAAATTTTTTCCAATCTTCTTTCACCGACTCTTCTCCCTGGTCTCGGATTCTGCCAGTCATTTCCGCCAATTCCATGTAGTCAATCACCTTCATCTGCCATTCTTCCAAAGTGGGTAGATCTTGTGTCTTCCAATACTTTGCGATAAGTATTCTTGCTGCTGTTGTAGCATACATGAAAAGGTTCTGTCCTTCTTTGGCACCAGTTGGCCGACAATGCCCAAGAGAAAGGCCTCTGGTTTCTTCAGAAAGGTATATTTAAATACCTTTTTCAGTTCATTGTATATCATTTCCCAGAAAGCCTTAATCTTTGGGCACGTCCACCAAAGGTGAAAGAATGTACCTTCAGTTTCTTTACATTTCCAACATTTATTATCGGGCAAATGGTAAATTTTTGCAAGCTTGACTGGGGTCATGTACCACCTGTATATCATTTTCATAATATTCTCTCTTAAGGCATTACATGCCGTAAACTTCATGTGATGGGATTATGAGCTGCTTGTGCGTAAAATCGTATTCCCTCAGAGTTTGTTCAAGTCCACAAACCTCTGTCTGTGACTGAGCCCCTCTGACATGGCTCCTCTTAGTCACTAGAAGATTCCGACAGTGGTTGCTTTCGTAATCGCTTCCAACATAAAAGCTCCTTAACGGAAACACGTCTTCTGGACTCTCTGCGTGACAGTTTCCGGCGAGGAGTGGGTGTCGCTACAGGAGGTCCGGAAACCTCACCACTGTTTTCGCTGGAAGTATCTCTGAGCCATCCCCCCAGCTCCCTTTCCCTCAGTTCAGCTTCTCTCCCCTGCTGGTTTCCTCTTCAGCTGCTAAGTCTCTTCCAACCTGTCTGAGCCCTTTCACCTCCCTCAGTTCAGCTTCTCTCCCCTGCTGGTTTCCTCTTCAGCTGCTAAGTCTCTTCCAACCTGTCTGAGTCCTTTCACCTCCCTTCCTACCGATGGCAGTTCCCTGACATCCACCTCCCCTCCAGGGCCCCCTTCACCCCCTCTCGCCCCCTCCTCTACGGGCGGTGAGGAGGCAAAACCCCGGAATGAACTTCCTTCATCTTCCGATGTCTCGAACACTTCTCTCCACCTGTTGCGGTTCCTGGTCTCGAAGCACTCCTCCTCCTCCGAGTCCATCTCCCCTTCCCCTTCCGATTCTGGGAATCCTTCCAACTCCTCCTCCTCCTCAGTGGTCCCAAAGTATTCCCTCCGGAAC